GCAACGGAGAAAGACACGCGCCGATGACATGGTGAATGCGATAGATACTGTTGTACGGAGTACACCTGAACTGATTTATTTGAGACCCTGCTAGAAGCGGTTACTGAATCTTCAGCTTGACTACTGGTAGACTGTAATAATACTAATACTAGTAGTACAACTTTGAGTGCACAGTACTTACTAAGTGGTCTGGAACCGACCGGATCTAATTGGGCGTTATTTTTATCCGCAGGATAGCTGACAAAGCCAGCACAACCAGCACAACTAACTAGCTATCACTCCAGATCATGGCGGCGATTGCCTCCCTGGAGATGGCGGAGTAGTAGTGATCGACGAGGCGAATACGCGTCAACCATCATCTAAAGATGCCCCTTCCCTTCAATTGATTTACTTCAACTCAACATGGCAGGCAAGAAAGGCCCCGTCCTACCCTACCGCCGGGGCTCAGACGCCTCCGAAGCCGACTTCTTCGACATTCCCGAAGAGCCCTGCTGGTCCATCATCAAGCGCCAGCTCCGCTATCTTAAGAGCCCGCGGGCCTGGCTCGCCATCTTCGTCTTCGTGCTGTTTGTCCTATTGCTGCGTCGAGAGAAACCTCCGCCTCCGCCCCTTCCTCATATTGATTACGACCGAGTCGATTGGTCGCTCTACGCCTACAGCCAGTATGCGACGTCGAGCCCATACCTGTGCAATGCGCTTATCGTCTTCGATACTCTGCAACGGCTTGGCAGCCGAGCGCAGCGGGTACTCTTCTACCCCGAGAACTGGGACGTGCTGGTAGATGACGATCGCGACCGGGACAGCCAGCTGCTGGCGATGGCCCAGGAGAAATACAATGTGCTGTTGGTGCCGATTGATGTGCAGATGGTCAAGGCAGGATCGGGTAGGCCACTCATTACAACGGTTCGAGTTATCAACGGCGTCAGGAGCTAATGCAGGAAGTATAGGACCAAGCGAATCCTGGGACAAGAGCATCTCAAAGCTTCTTGCCTTCGGAGAGACCGAATTCGAACGTGTCATTCACATCGACTCCGACGTTAGCGTTCTACAGAACATGGACGAATTGTTCTTCCTCCCACCCTCTCAAGTCGCCATGCCCCGCGCCTACTGGGAACTGCCTGATATCAAGCAGCTCTCGTCTCTCTTGATTGTCCTCCAGCCGTCCTACAAAGAGTGGTATGCGTTGATGGATAAGGCTCAGGCCATTTCGTACGGACAGGTCGACTCGAACGTCAGCTCGCGAGTTAGGTACGATATGGAACTGATGAACGAACGGTACGCGGATTCGGCCTTGGTTCTACCGCACCGACAGTACGGACTGGTCACCGGCGAGTTTCGCAAAGACGACCACCGGGCGTTCCTGGGTAATGAGCATGAAGAATGGGATCCGGAAAAGGTACTAGCGGAAGCGAAGCTGGTTCATTTCTCCGACTGGCCGCTGCCCAAGCCGTGGGTGATGTGGCCGCAGGAATTGCTGGCCGATATGCTGCCCAAGTGTAAGGTCAAGCCAGGCACGATGCATGAGAGTGGGTGTAAGGATCGTGAAATTTGGAAGAAGCTCTACGATGATTTCCGGCGGAAACGAAGGGTTTGTTCATTCCTCCTGTCGGGTTGGTGTGTTCTTGTTGCTAACGATGGCCGACAGGACGTGTGTAAATTGCTCAGCTATCCGGCGCCAAACTGGCCGCCTCGGGAGAAACCTCAAGGTCCTCCGGAGACGGCACCAGAAGGTGTTTCAGTTCCTCCTGCTAGTTGATTTCAGTGTGTATTTGGCATGGTGTTTCGGATGTGGTTACGGGTTTCGCAGAATGTATATAGACAACATGGATAATCTTGACTGCACATTGGCGTCGATGGATTGTACGATAAGTGAACGGGCATATTAAATATCTCCAATGACCGCTGCCTGTGCCGGAGCACTGGGCATCGTCAACCCCTGTGACCTGTCATCGCGGTTGACAATCACTTCTTGAATGACGGTCACGACATGATCGAATCAATTCAATTGGTATCAGTTTTTATTCTTATACCGCATTGGTGTTACCAACAAGGATAAGAGAAATGAATTATCCACCTAAAAGAAGTAGCTTTGATAGACTCTTAGGTCTATGTTCAATTTCAGTCATCACACTCAATCAGGTGTTCTTCTTCCACTGCTAGCAGTCCATTCCCTCTATACATGTTGTGTGCTGCTTCGCGGGAACAACGCGTGGTGTAGTAATACACGTGACCCGCATTGGAGGTGCCACTTGAGCTCAACTGCGATGGGAAATACGTAATTGATCATTCAGCACCGTCTTCCTCTGCATGGGGAACTCCTTTATGGTGAGTTATTGCTGGTCAAAAATTCTCATTGGGCTCTCTTTTACGTCTTCTTTTAATTAACATGAATAACTGTTTGACTTGCTGTAGATCGCTGCAACAATTTAGCCAGAATCGCTCACCACAGTCAAAATCGGATCGCATATGGATAAGGTTGCGCATACAGTATAATAAGATATATAAGAAAGAATGGCATCCTGGATCCAACGCCAGAGTGGATCTCATCAGACACAGCTTGCGGCTACAGCAGTGATTTCGGGAGCTGCGGTCGCTGGTGCGATACTTGGCTACCAGGCTCTCAAAAGGAAGGATGCCGTGCAGCGCCTCAAGGCATCCATCCCAGATGTCAATGACCAACACCATGTTGAAAAGGTATCCTAGGTTTTTCGCGCTATATTATATTAATACCATCTAACGTTTAAGAAGCTCACAGAATACGGTGTCGCGGCTGCAGCGCAGCTGAGCAAGGAAGATGAACGCAGTGCGCTCCTCGCTCGGAGAGCGCAGGAAGGAGACTACGATGATGGTACTGGCTTTGCTTGGAATACTCCCCTACAATTGTTGCGATGGATATTTGGCTAATTTCATTTATTTCCGTCTAGAGCTCATCCTCGAACAACTTGCCCGAAACCGTGTTTTCCTGTCCGATGAAGGCCTCGCGAAGCTCCGCTCGTCATACATAATCGTTGTTGGATGTGGAGGAGTCGGGTCGCATGCTGTGGCCTCCCTTGCCCGCTCGGGTGTTTCCAAGATCCGCCTGATCGATTTTGATCAGGTCACGCTTTCCTCCTTAAACCGACATGCTCTCGCGACGCTGGCCGACGTCGGAACGCCGAAGGTGCATTGTATCCGCAAAAGACTGGAGCAGATCACACCGTGGGTGAAGTTTGACTGCCGGAACGAACTATTCGGGGGATCAGTCGCCGACAGACTTCTTGCGCCTTGGAGTTGGGACGACAACGACAAAGGACACAAGCCTGACTATGTACTGGACTGCATCGACAACATTACGTCCAAGGTGGAGCTGCTTCATTACTGCCACTCGCACTCTATTCCCGTGATTTCGGCAATGGGAGCAGGATGCAAGTCAGACCCTACCCGTGTTACGGTTGGTGATATCTCACTCAGTACGGATGATCCGCTGTCGCGGAGCACTCGTCGACGCCTCAAGTTGTTAGGCGTCAATACCGGTATTCCTGTTGTTTTCTCCACTGAAAAGCCCGGTCCTGGTAAAGCCACTCTTCTTCCACTCAACGAGGCAGAATTCAGCAAAGGAGAAGTTGGTGAACTGAGTGTATTGCCCGATTTTCGGGCGCGGATCCTCCCTGTGCTGGGAACAATGCCTGCAGTGTTTGGCTACACTGTGGCGAACCACGTCATTTGCGACATTTCCGGCTATCCGATGGATTACAGCGTGGGTGGGAAGGGTCGTGATAAGTTGTACGATGGTGTCTTGGCAGCCTTGCAGGGAACGCTCGAGCGCTTGGCCCGGGCGGAGCATGGCCCTAGCCTTGTCGGGCTTCGCCTTCCCATCAGCAAGGATGACGTCGGATACCTGGTCGACGAGATCTTCCGCGGCAAGAGTGTGGTCAGTGGCCTCCCCAGTCGAGTCAGTCTTGTTCCCTGGGAGCGGCCTGAGCGAGGATTCGGACCTGATCCGGAGTGGATGAAGCAGGGGCAGACCTTTGTTCCGCTTGAGTTGAAGGATTTAGTGTGTATGACTAAGGATGAAGCTGTACGGCATGAAAAAGAAGTGCTTCTGGGTGGTAAGCAGCTGGAGGAGGTATACGATTCCAAGACGATTGAAATAGTGCAGAAGCGGCAACGGGAGATTGAGTTTCACGAGCAATATCGCTAATGACGCGGAGACACCAACGACTAGTGCTTTTTCAGGGACCAAGATACAGATGGCACTAGCACCTGGCACCACGAGTCATAGCTACAAGTCGAAAACCTCGAGCCCTGCTTGGCTTTTGACAGTCTGACAGGCGGGTCTCAGGTGATGACCCACGAGTGTGACAGGGTCGAGGGAAGCCGGCTCCTGACATTTTCTTGGTCGCATTGCAGACGTAAATCCAGCTACAGATTTTGGTGAAAGCCCCATCTCGCCCAATGAGTGTTTGGTCTTTGAAGATAGCATAATTGCAGTAGAGACTACAAGATGGGCTGGGATGCGAGTAATTTGGTACCATATCCAGACATGGCAGTCAAGTATCGAGCAAGGCAGGAGGATGTTCTGGCTGGGAGGACAAGATGGTTTGATATTGGATATAAGTGGCAGCTAGAAGATGTTGATAACAGCTAGACTGAATATAAACAAAGCCTAGAATACTTCAATTACAAGAAATACAGTATCAATGTACCACTGAAGCATCTGCCAGAAATTTCCAATCCGATTATCTCCTTTGCAGAACATCGTAAAGGTTTAATATATGCGGTAAAAAAAGTCCCCTATCCTATCTCTCACATAATAGGAACATCCAGGCGTGGAGGAACCATGAGCGATAGAACATCATAAACTGATATCAAGAATCAATCATTAATATGACAGCGCGTCCTTGGGTGCTCGAGGTCATAACTTACCTAAACTTTCCTAATAACCCATGATCATCCGCACCCTCCAGTAGCATGATTCTCCTTCATTCTAGCATGATCAGGTTCTTATGAAATATTGTATTCACTAACTTTCATAAATATTTCCTGTTCTAAGTCTAAGTATCAAACAGATAACTCCTAATAATACTGGCACCACAACCATTGCTTGACAGGGTGTTAATCCAAATCTGATTAGAACTCAATAGATGGATATGACAATCGTATCTATCATAATATGTCGCGGAAAATAAACCAAATCTTTGAAAAGGTCTTCAAAAGTAGAGCTCGAACGTGAATGCTGAACAGAATTTGACTGATGGCTTATGGAGAGAGAGAGAAAATAGGTAGAAAAGAAAAGTAAAACATGTTTTACACGAGAACGTCCAGCGTTCAGAAAGCAGTGTTATGTTCTTCACATTCATCATGAAATGATGTCAAAGGAGGATCGACCTGTTATTGAGCATCCTGGTCTTGTATAGCAACGCCACATACGCTCTGTTCACGTTAGTATCCTCAGCGAGAATTACATTGAAGCCAGGAGATATTGGAAGTACCTGTCGTCTAGTCATAAATTCCTTGTACATCCCTAGCCAGATCTCTCGGAGATGGCAGTCATCTCGCTGACCAGTAGCAGGGTTGACCTCGCAAGGAGGCTGGGTCTGCTCGATCACATGTTGAGTAGCGGCAACCCATGGCTAGCGCCAGACTTAGCACAATCCCAAGGGGTCCATAGGGTATCAAATCCTTGTTGTTAACGTACCTTGGGAACTGGCCAGTCAGAGAAATGGAGATATTTAGCTGTTCTTAGAACTTCGTCCGCATCCCACGGTTCATATGTATTTCCCAGATAGGCCTCATGGTTCTTGGCGCGGAATTCTCCCGTCAAAAGCATGTAAGGGCGGTGCGGTATAACGAGAGTATTATCTTCGTATAACTTGTTCATAATCTCCATGTCGTATTCCTCAGAAGGATTGTCCCATATTTCTTCCAACACGCGATTGAATTCATCCGTGGATGGTTGAATGAGCATAAGCCCGGATGTGAATACTCGTTCTTCCGGATAAAACCAGTAGGCCAGTGGCATGGCGACCGGAGCTGGTGGGAGTAGGAACAGCTCGTCCATCGTCTGCGTGTGTGTTAGTTGCGATGAGAAACGCCATGACTGGGCTACAAACCTGCAGCAGGGTGGCGTCAGAGTCTAAGTTGAGAACTCTGCCATAATCTGTTTGATTAAAAGCGAGGAGCTTCGTGTAGCTCGTTGACCATGGTGCTGTCGCTCATAGTTAGTATTTAGTCTTGCAGCGCAAAGAATTGATTTACCTCCTCCCCCTCCCTTCATGATTACCTCGATTGGCCGAAGCTTCACGTTATAATTATCTCTTGCAAAACGAAGTAGACGTGCTTCAATTGAACTATCGTTCTCAGACACGAAAAACTTGGCGGGATACATCAGCACAAGATCGGCTTTTGTACCGAGACGGTGAAGGGCCTCGAAGATCATGACTGAATTGCAGAGATAAGACCTGTCTGTGGCATATTGAGTGTATGCAAAACGGGACCAGTCAATGCGCTCCCTAGACAGTCCAGTGTGATAAGACTCGGAATTTCGTGTAGCGTCTGGATGTTTAGGAAGTCGTAACAATGTCACAAATCCCAAAAGAGTGGACACAACTAAGAAAAAGGCGCGGAAGACTTTCGGAGGTCTTGTGAACATTTTTCTATAGTAGCTGATGGCAAGACTTGGAGAGCAAGTTACCCAAGAATCTTACTTCAAGTTTTGTGCATTGTCTTTGAAGGCTAAAGAAAATAAAAGAGCGTTGTAAGGTCAATTAACGAAATTAACCCCCCATCAGCTTCGAGGCAGCCCCTCAGCTGGTAGACAGCGGCGGGTGGCTGCGAATGGGCGGCTAAGCGCTGCCCATGCATGATCTGAAGCACGCTATAATCCACCGCAGCTACTGATTGGAACGAATGATGGCCGTGCCCAGCACAGCGCTAACATGCATTGGGTGGAGCCAACTACTAAGGGTTCAGGGTCCTTGCTCATTCCCAGCCTTGTCATCATCTCCAAGCACATTCAGTTGAGAGTCAACACTTATACTTGCTGAAGTAAGAGCGATTGACGTCTCACCATCTATCAAAGATGTGAGCAAGCAATCGTTTAGTGCTCCTGTGACTTCCGCCTGACGCAGTAATAAGACTAGACTAAGCGCCAATGAATGCCATACATTCACCTCAATGGTCCCTGCACCTAGTAGTACAGTAGTAGTAGTACTTAGTACCTAGGTGCACATCCTTTGTTCACTGGTCAGAGGGTTCTCATGCGACCCCACTATGAAGACTCGTGCGGCTATGAATAACAACTGGCATATTAGGGGCGCTTAGATGGACCTGTACTTAATCTAGTTGGCTGACGGTTATCCAACCTGAATCTCTGTTCAAGTATTCGTCTTTTTGACGACTCAAGTTGACTTATTCATCTGAGATGTGCGCAATCTCAGAATTGCCATAAGTACTATTAGCAACCATCCTAAGATTTGCGACATCAAGACCTATTCACCTGTGTCTGGTATCTCAGCTCAGCCTGGAGGTGGCGGCGGCAGCTATATTGCTTCCCGAGTTGGTTTACAACAAAGTCTTCATTAATATCGGTAGGCTACTTCGCATTCCTAGAATGTTGTCAAGTCAGGCCATTCAGAAACGTCTCTTTTTTAGCACGGCTCAGGGCTTCCTAACAGGTTTTCGTTCTTAGGGATGCGACGACGACAGCAACAGTGCTTTATCGCCTTTTGGACCCTCTGCCTCGAATATGTTCTCGGCTCAGGTCCCCGAGTGATGCCCTGGTCAAATAAGAAATTTGGACCCGATGGCCCCTGGCAAGCGGTCACAGTGCAAATCGGGAGTAACTACACCGAGATCGTTGTTTCTTCCTCGGAAGTGGCTTTATACCTGGGAGGTAGTTGGGAAAGTAAAATCCTATTATCTTCAATTTGCGACAACAAAACACTCTCGTCCGTGTGTTATGGGGATATAGCTGGCCTCTTTGACAGCGACATATCAGCCAGCCTGGATAATACCTCGATAGAGATGCCTCCATATGGGACATGGGGTGATGTGGATTGGGGTTTCACGAACGCAGCGCCTGTTTACGCAAAAGCAAGACGAGCAACAGACTATATAACCATCAGCGGCTCACCCGTCCCTGATGTTGATATGATCATAATATATTCGGGGTGGCAGACTTACCCTGGTGGGCAAGCATACCCACTGGAGGTGGGGATCTTATCCCTTGGATGCCCAGCTATTAATCAGACATTTGGAAATGTGATCAAGATCAACACAACGTTTGTCACCAGCTATTTCTATGAGCAAGAGGGATCGCTAAACATACCGTCTTATTCTTACGGTATGCATATTGGCTCCGCAGCACTAGGAATTCCTGGATCGCTGCTTTTAGGGGGTTATGATCAGAATAGAGTGATGGGCGAGGTGTCCTCCCAGGCATTTTCAAGTGGAAGCTTCCCAATTGAGCTGCTCAATATGAATATCGGAGTAGCAGAGGGTGGGTCTCCTTGGGCTTACACGAACAAAGCAGGGTTATTGGCACAGTGTAATTCCTCCCTGGACTCTGGTCTCAGCGTCATTGTGGACCCAGCAAACCCATATATATATCTGCCTCAGAGCTCATGCGATGCGATAGCCGCTGAGTTGCCTGTGCCATACCACCCTGAGTACGGCCTTTACTTTTGGAACACATCTGACACACAGTACGATACCATTGCAACATCGCCAGGTTACCTAGGTTTCCAATTCAGCAAGCATAACCTCAACAACAACTTCATCACGATCAAAGTTCCCTTCGCTCTTCTGAATCTCACACTAGAGGCCCCGCTTGTGAAGACACCAACGCAATATTTCCCGTGCTACCAATAGCACTCCAGTTCTAGGACGTGCTTTCCTTCAGGCAGCTTTTATAGGAGTCAATTGGCTTGGTGGAAAGTGGTTTCTAGCTCAAGCACCAGGACCGGGAGGCTCCTTCATTGTTGATACCGTGTCAATAGGTGACAATGATTTCACTATTTCGGCAACAACAAACAGCTGGGAAGCCACCTGGAAAAGCACCTGGAAGGCAATACCTGCAGGTTCTACCTCGAACGCAAATACAACAGGTACATCAATGAGCGGTCCATCTACTGACGGGAATGGCTTCTCAGTGGCTGTCAAAATCGGCATAATTGTCGGCAGCACTATTGGCGGGCTGTCGATAATTGCTATTCTCTCTGGGATCTACATCCATCACCGACGACAACAAAAGAAAGCATCCATTTCAGACGAAAGTCATGCGACAGAACAAACAGATCACGGATCCTCGGCGCATCAGTTGATGCCTGTGGAGGCACCCGATAACATATGGAACCAAGTTAACGAGATACACAGCCAAGAAAGACATGAGATGGGCTCGGAAAGAGGGCCCTTCTATGAGCTAGGCCCGGAAAAGGGTGCTTTGGTTGATTTAGATCAAAGGTCCAAATCTCAGGAAGGCCCTTTTGAGCTACCAGCACGAACATCCGTCTCGTGGTCTTCTAATGTTATCTAAAAGCGCCTGATTTCCGCAATGTACATAGCTGACTGTGTTTTTGCCACAGCTGATAATTCAAGGCAGGAAAAATTGTTTTACACACCCTACCATCATCATACTGATCATACTTGTATGAAAAATAACTATACAATATCTATAGACCTCTGATCACGATCCAGTCCAATCAGAATCCTTCAATTTTACACTTGACACTTAAGATGATGTATGTCCATATATACGACATGTAGCATATAGAACGGGTGGTACTTTATATAGTGTTGGATAAACCAAAGATGCGGTTATCTTGGTATATGTATATAGCAACACCACTACAGAGTACTATTTTATTCGTTTTATCCCGACTGCTATCTATCTGCTCAGCCTCGCACACTGAGTAAGAATAAAGCGCATTAAATGCTCGATTTGGACCCTGACGAGTCGCGCCTGCCCAGAATAGAACACCTAAACCATATTCGGACTAGTGGTGCTCAGGCCAAGAGGGACGGCACCCTAGCACTAACCCAAGAATGGTTAGGTCAGGGAAACACTCATGTTTCGAGTAAGGCGTCACAAGACTGCGGGAACTCTGTCCCTTCCACATCTTGGGTCCATCGCTCCATTCCGCCATCTGGGGCCATTTCATTATCTCTCTTTCACCGACGCGGCTGGGCCCGGACTGTGTCCTCCCTTGCCATTCCACATCGAAGGCCGTGTTGTCGATCGGTTCTGATCGTCGCTCCTTTGCCTTTCTTTCCTTTTATTTCTTTTTCTCTCTGTTGCTTTTCGTCCATTATCCATAGCCTCATTCCTGATTTAGCATTCCCTTCAACATCACCAACAACCTCTCTCTCCCCCCCCACACTCGTCCTCCGGAATCAGACAAAACAACACTTGTCCGCCTCCCAATATGAATAATTATCACGACACCGAAAGCCTCGAATACTCCTCCGACACCTCTGATGATGGCCGCTTCTCTCCCCACCCTACGGGTCGCATCAAGCGCTACACAAGACCCTTGATCGATTACGTGCGCAACGAATGGCAAACTAACGCCAAATACTCCCATCTCGCCAACCCCGACCAGCCCTCTGAACCTTCCCGATTCGTCCAACTCTTCCTGTCTATTGTCACTGCGCCGCGCTTCCGTCGCTATGTCGTGGTGTACTTGATCCTTGTCATAACGTGTCTGCTGGGATGGCTGTATATCCTCTCTCCGCGGCTAGCGGAGCATGCGTCGTTGTTGCGGGCGCTAGATCCAGAGGTGAAAGAGGAAGTGGGTGGATGGTTTGGAACGAACGCTTTTCCCGGGTTTGATGATGTTGTGCAGGTGAAAAAGTTGGATAAGGAGCTTTTACCTGAGGGAGAGGAACGGCTGATTGTTGTGGGTGATGTGCAAGGATGCATGGCAGAGTGTATGCCCCCTTTCCACTCCCCTTGATGCAGTTCATGGTATTTGAATGCATGCATGGATCGCTGACATACAAACGTGTTGATAGTGGACCGCCTCCTCGAAGAACTCCTCTTCGATCCGACCAACGATCACCTCATCTTTACTGGAAACATGATTAGCCAGGGCCCCAACAGCACTGACGTTGTCGATTTCGCCCGAAAGTATTCCGCGTCATGTGTGCGCGGAAACAACGAAGATCGCGTCCTTGTTATGCGCCACAATATGATCGAAGCTCAGACCTTAACTGATACCTCTTCCGATCAATACCTCGATGGTCAGTCTACAGAGCAGGCCAAGAATGAACGTGATCTCGCGCGTGTCCTGTCAGACGAACAAGCAGACTGGCTAGACGCCTGCCCAGTTATTCTTAACGTGGGACAGATTCCTACCATGGGACAGGTTGCGGTCGTGCATGGGGGACTGATTCCGGGTGTGGATCTGAATCATCAGGACCCGTATAGCGTGATGAATATGTTGACCATTGATTTGGATACCCATATGCCTAGCCCTGAGCGGGATGGTATGATGTGGACTAAGGTTAGTCCCCCTTATAATTCTTCCGTACTATGTTGCTTTGAGACAATAATACTAATAACGGTATAGTTCTTCAACAAGCACCAATCCATCGGCTATGCAAGCTCTAAAAGCTCGAACAAAGACGACGACGAAGATGCAGGTGCCGTCAAAGCCACCACCGTCATCTACGGCCACGACTCCGAAACAGCCCTCAACATCAACACCTATACAAAGGGTATTGACACCGGCTGTGTCGCCGGCGGAAAACTCACCGCGTTTGTGATTAGCTCCTCTGGAGAGCAGAATATCATCCAGGTCAGGTGTAACAACTACCTACCCTGATTGAATGACAATTGTTGTGTTCCGTCTTGTCATGTATAGAATGTCGTTGCTGCATACTACTTTGCATAGTTTGCATCTTTCTCTCTTTATCTCTCTGCTGGTTTGAAGGGACTAGGATTGATTGATTGATTGATCGATTGGATTGGATCTGGTAGGGGTGGTGTATTGTTTCATGGTTCATCTTCTGTTCGCTTGTTTCTGCATGTGGAGCATCGGGGTTGGAGTTACGGCTTGTTTATTGCATGGGCCGGTTGTCGAGAATATGATGGTGTGCTTGTCTCTATAGGTAAATATGTCTCTACGCGAGGTATAGTATACTACTATATTATATTCAATTCGATTCTATTTGTATTTCTATACCTGTTCGAGTCGGACTTTCTGTTGACCCGGCCCGGCCCCGCAATCCGTCCGCCCTTCGATTGCACAATCTTACTTTGTTGGTTTCACAACACGGGTATGTTCTGATATGATGGATGGATAGAGCAAAGCGGGTGCATCTGTTGTCTCGTCTGCCCCGAATAGCCAGCGATAAATCCTCTTGGGCTATAGCGGTGCTCAGAACAAATTCATCCCATATTAAAAAGCCGAGGCACCAAACTGGTGCTGGAGGGGTTTGCTTTACCTACTGTACATGATACTGCTACGTACAGTAAGGGTGAATGAGAACCTGTGGGGCAGGAAGCAGTTCGGGGGATTGAACTACTGGTCTACTACTACCTAGTTATCCTACCACTTACCTGTAAACCGTCTAGATTGACTCCTGGCTCCGTGCTAACCCTAACCCAGCTAAACTTTTCATTGACCTTCTTGCGTCAGCCTTTGAAATTAGTCTCCCTCTCGAAACCTCCAAGGATTGAAACCGGCTTATGAGATTGCGAAATTGCGACCCGATATGTCTCCCCCAGTCATCTCACTCCTCTCGAGGCCGTCGGACTCCACATGAGTGAACCTAAAGCAGGCGAGTGGGACCCAAAAGAGGCTGTCCTCTCAATACTACTGTCCTCGAGGCTCGGTCTGGGCCGAAGGTCCCACTCCTCTAGTTCTCACCATCCAGGGGAGCCTTTTGAGTCCGCCGAAGTTTACATCCATTCATCATCCCAGCTGGGCAGGATTAGTGAAAGGTATCGCTGCTGCACCTGCCTCATGGTTGGTTCCTTCACCACCATGGCCCTCTTTTTTGTTATTAGCTCGCGGACGACTCCTGGTCCTCCTTCACCCACCCCCTCTAAAGATTCCAAATCCTTTTCTCTTTCTTTTCTTTTAGTATCTATCGATCCTGTCTGAGGCTCCTCCTCCCCCCCTCTAACCCGTTCTTATCTTTATTTCTTGCCAGATTGCCTTCTTCAAACGCAATGGCTGCTCAAAAGGCCGTTTTCACCGTCTCGGCTCAGGCCACCCAGTTAGGCAATCGCATTTCGGTGCATATGCTGGACTATCTCAGCACTGAGCACGACCTACCGGACGGTTTTCGTGAACTATCACAGACTTTCCTAGATACCTGTCGCGCTTTATGGGCCATTGATGCTGGTCTCACCGACTCCACTGCTGCCGGTCGCGCTCTGCCCGATGTGATCGTGGAGGAGGTGGCGAAGAAATTCATGGCCGCTTATCGCGATTTCCTGAGTCTGGACAAGGTCGTGACTAGACTCATTCAGTATGAACATCGTGGAGCCCTGGGCAGGCTTCAACGCGGATGGAATCGTCCAAGCCTCGAACTGCACCGCATTCGCGAGTCATTGAAGAAGACAACCGAAACACTTCAAATCAGCGTCCTCGCCTTTCACTGGTCTCTTGGCGAACAGCCATTTATGGAGGAATCAGTGGGCATTGGCTACGCCGGGCTGGCTGCCGCACTGGACCGTATGGCCAAAGATCGGTCGGTAATGGGCATCAACAAGGCTAAATCTCTAGAAAAGGTATCAAAGGAGGTGGCCGCTTCGTTGTCATCCGCGTCAGTCCCCTCTGTGCCTCCCAAAGAGTCCCCAGTACAACTCTCGGTTGCGATAGAAAACCCCCAGTCCAATGCCGATGACATACTCTCCTCCGTGCTTTCGCTCGACTCCCTCCTCATTGCAAATGACAATGACCAGGACCATCTTTCATTGCCCCCCGTTAACTCCCGTCCTCAGCCTCTGCGACTGAATGGGAATCCTGTGCGGACGAGCTCGCGCGAGCCGCAAGCGGAAACGATCACGCCTCTCGACGATAATATATCTGGGGATACCCTCTCATATCACCGGCTATACGAGTCATCCGCTGGCCCGCTACATCGCACCCCTAGCCGAAACAGTGGTGCTAGTGCGACGCGACTACGCGGTGCGTTAGCCTCCGCCGTCCGGGGACGGAATCACAAGTTGCTAGAGCAGTTGTTGGACAGTGGAGTGTCGCCCAATCTTGGGGAGCATATCCATCCGCTAAACGAGGCCGTGCACCAGCACGATTTTCAGGGGATGCGCCTGCTTCTGCAGTTTGGTGCAAACCCAAACAACCCGGACCGGCAGGGAAAGACGCCCTTGCTTGTCGCAGTGGATGAGTCGTTTGTCGACGGGGCAAACTTGCTGCTGAAGTACGGCGCCGATTCCAACTATGTATCGGAGCCGGGACAAGACTCTCCCTTGAGTCGTGCACTGGCCAAGCGAAAGCTCAATATGGTGCAGCAGCTGCTTGCGCATGGGGGCAATGCAAATACTGAAACGCCAAGCGGTAGCACAGTGCTTGTCGAGCTTATCAAACAACAGGCGCCACCGAAGCTAATCACTCTCTTACTAGAGGCCGGCAGCGACCCAAACAAGAAGGGCTGCCAAGGGAGAACGGCACTCAACGAGGCGGTGCAGACCGAGCAGATTGCCGTCGTAACGACACTGCTCGAACACGGGGCCAATCCGAATCTCCCTGGACCCGAGCATGTTCTATGGCTAGCTATCTCCCGGCCAGCATGTTTGCGTCTTCTATTAAACAGCGGGGCTGACATCAAAAAGACCCCAGGTCTCATGGAACAGGCGACCAGCATGAACAATATCGAAGCCGTTCGCACCCTGCTGGAGGTCGGGCTTGATCCAAATGCCAAGAAGGACGGTACCTACACGCCCCTCTGCTCTGCCATTCGTGACAATCGGGCCGACATCTTGACACTGCTGCTGGAGCACGGTGCGGACCCAAACGTCATGGCATCCGAGTATCCCGCTTGGAAATGTATCACCCACAACCGACTCCATTTTCTACCTGTCTTGATCGCGGCTGGTGCTGATCTTTTTCAACCACCTGGAATCGTAGAGCTGGCCGTGCAAGTCAACAACACTGCGGCCTTGGAGTGGCTGGTTGAGCAGGGAGGTGCGAACGTGAATGACCGCAACGCACAAGGTCATACTGCATTGACAACTGCCATCCGCGAGAACCGGCCGGAAATGCTAAGCTACCTGCTCGCACATGGCGCCAACCCCGCTCAACGTGGGCAGGATTGGCCTGTATGCATGGCCGTGCGGTCTCCAGCTCTGCTTCAGAAACTGCTTCCGCTGGTCCCTGATCTCTCTGCTTACAAGGGCGTCATGGAGATGGCCGTGCTTGCCAACCAGCTTGAGAGCATCAAACTGCTGCTCGCTGCCGGTACCAGTGTCGAGTATAAAAACGGTGGCGTCTTCTCCCCACTCACTACAGCCTTGCGAGAGCGACATGACGATATTGTGAGGTTCCTGCTGGAGGAAGGAGGTGCCGATCCAAACGTCCCCGGCGAGCATCTCCCTCTCGTGAAAGCGATCCGCCGGACCCACAATGGTGACTTTTCTATGATTGAGCTTCTGCTTGAGAAGGGTGCTGACCCCAATAAAAGTTACCGGCACTGGAATGCTATCATGCAGGCGATTGAGTATCGGGATCTGCCATTGTTACATCTGCTAGTTAAGAAGGGAGGCGGAGCTGATCTCACGCAGCACGATGAGGCAGGACAGACTGTTTTAGAAATGGTGGATTCCGGATGGCCCGAGGCCATGCAGTTCCTTCTTGACAATGCGCGCCCCTAGTTTGTAGTCTTTTATGACGCTTGGGAGTTATAGGATCCTAACATAGGCTTAACCTCATATCATAATACGTAATAATCTTAATATTGTCACACGAGGATACATTCTAATCAATAAGCTCACTTGTTCCTGGTCTAGGTCGGGATCAGCATCTAGTTCGGCCAAAAAAAAAAAATAAAAAAATAAAAAAAAACAAACAAATATAAAAAAAATAAAGGCACCCGCAGGAACACATGCTAAACCAAGGTTACAGAAAGATAAGGAAGCAATGAAAGCAGTAGTGAGGAGACACACTTATACAGATTTAAGGATTCAATCTAACGAAATTCATAATCTTATACCTGATAGAATATGCCTAGAGACCCGGAACTTTTCCTCACAGTTGCGGTACTAATTACTCTCCCACATCGTATTGACCAGAGAAAGTGGGGCCAGGCTAATCCTCTGTATACAAGTAAAACACGGTTATAAGCAACACCCGATATAGGGAATCCTCCATTACAAGCAACTGGCCACCGTGTTCAAATCGCTACACCATACAAAATTGCTTCATCCTCCATTACTAGCAGATTGCTAAGTTCCTGACCTTCCTCCATAGGATGCTCGGAATAGCTAATTTGAACGTCATCATTCAGGAATCATGCCAAAGCAGACCTCCAAACGAACGCGATGTTGCATTTCCAACAGCCAAAAAGCTGCTCTACGTACTCAACACCAGTTGAAGCCTCAGCTCACTAATATCGACCTTATCAAGTGGTTCGAAGCCACGTACAACCAGCGGATTACTCCCTCCTCCGTATCCCGTATCCTGTCTCCCCGATGTGATTATCTTGATGCTATTCCCGACCACCGATTGAATGATAAACGACGTCGAACAGAGTTGTGGCCAGAGCTAGAGGCAGCAGTTATTGACTGGCTTGAACGCGCGCAATTCTATATTACTGTCTCACAAGAAGTCATACGCGAGAAAGCAAAGCAATACTGGCCGATTATCTATCCTGATAAGATGATGCCGTCATTCAGCAACGGTTGGCTTCGAGGCTTCCAATATAGGAAGAATATCAAGAATTTCAAGCAGTACGGAGAGGGCAGGGAGATAGCACTGGAAAATGATGCTGAAGATCAGATGATCTTGATACGCAAAGCACTACGTGTTTACGCGCCTTGTGATATCTTCAACTGTGATAAAACTGGCTTATATTGGAGAATGCCTCCGGATCGTGGTCTTTCTACGCGTTCAATCCCTGGACGTAAGAAAGATAAGGCACGTATTAGTATACACTTCTGCTGCAACGCTGATGCCTCTGAGCGCCTTCCTTTATGGTTTATTGGTGCAGCAAAGAAGCCTCGAGTCTTCCAAGCAGCAGGTATAAATCCAGAGAATCTAGGTTGCAAATGGCGAAGCAATCGAAGGAGTTGGATGACTACTGCAATCTTCAAAGAATGGCTTCTTTGGTTTGACCAGAGAATGGTTGGCCGGCAGGTTGCTCTATTATGTGCTAACTTCTCATCTCATCTTGCTGCGTACGAAGAGGTTAAATCACAGTTATCAAATACTCTGATTATATGGCTGCCACCCAATTCAACATCACGATACCAGCCACTTGATCAAGGCATCATCCGGACCTGGAAGGCTTACTGGAAACGGCAATGGCTGGTTTATATGATGACTGAATATGACCGGGGTTACGATCCTATAACTACAATGAACCTTTTGCAAGCGCTCCGTTGGTCGATATCTGCATGGAATCTTGATTTAAAAGATGATACAATCCGCCACTGCTTTACACGCGCGCTTTCAGATGACACTTATAATCCTATGCCTGACTCTGCCATCCTACATGATTTGACTGCTAGTCTACAGAAGTTGCGGGATACTGCACGGATTCAAGATATGATGCAGCTTGACCAGTTCTTGAATCCTTTAGAAGAGCAGGTTCATGATGCAACTACTGATATCGATGATGTTGTTCTAAGCCAGTACACTGCAGTTGAAGATGAGGTTGAAGAGGATGATGAAATGATAGAGCCTCTACCATTTATATCATCTACTAGGGCCCTGCAGGCATTATATGACCTCCGCTTGTACGAAGAACAACAAAATGATGCTAATCAAGCATCTCTACACTCGCTAGCATGCCAGGAACGTGATATTCTTCGAAGAAAGGTGTTAAACACGCAACAAAGTGATATTCGTGGCTACTTTAGGTAGAACATTCAATATAAGGAAGACCTCGATATAAGCAATGTGGTGGCGTGCCTCATATAATTGCTCATAGCCGTGTTTTACTATAGTATACTTATACATATAGACTATATAATGTTGACGCAACTGCTGGAGTAGGCGTAGTCACGTGCCGGTGGTTACCCCGCCCACAAACGATCTCTTGCTTTGTTCTGCTAGAGCACCTAGACAGCTACTAATTCAACGCATCCTTTGCTACGATTCGCGTTCGTCCGCTTGCTTTTCGTTGTTTCGTTGCTTTGCTAGTAATATCGCGCCTCAACAGGTTATGAGCCCGGGCTCCCTCTCGTGAAGCTATTCAGACCCCCATATCACGGATCTTGACCCCAAACGAAGCGGAGGGCCTACGGCTCCTACAAGTGGTAGGAGTGAACGGGGACGCGCTGGTCTTGGAGGATCACCTCGATCCGATTTAAGCATCTAATTCAAACACCTTACTACATCAAGAGACGCTCTATTCAACACATTCGTCGGATCTACCCGTGCCAAGCACACTAATTTGGCGCCATGGCATACGCGGTGGAACGAAGCATTTCATTCGAGGGGATGTCCCTGACCCAGGTGAACCCTACGGAAGCAGTAACTCAAGCAGACCGACTGCCAATGACCCCTCCGAAAGGCCTATCCGGGTTGCCGATTCTGCTGAAGGGACGCTCCAATTACACTGACTGGGAGTTCCACTTGGAGTGTGCATTCAGGGACGCCGGATTAGAGGACCTGATCGACCTGAAGCTACCCAAACCTGCCAACACACACGCAAAATATGCAGCGTGGCACAACTATTCGATGACAGTAGCTTACTACCTTGTCGGGCAGCTGGGAGATGAAGTGGTAAGGCAATTCAGAAGGTCTAAAGAGGACAAAAAATACGTCGATGACGCGTTCAAACTGATTCGCACCATCGTGCTGGGACACGGTGTTGTGGATTGCCAGATAGTCGTGATGAAACTAACCAGAGGCATGCGTTCCGATTACTCTACCGCACGTCAATATATTGACGATTTCATGGAAGCGTACGACGTGGCCGTAAAGCTTGACTGCTCGATCTCCCCGTTCGTGGCAAGCCTCCTGATGATGTACGAACTGCAGTCAGAATTCCCTACGTGGGCGTCGACCGTGGAACACTCGATGCCAGGAAATGCAGGTCAAGCCTATACAGAAGAGCAATTCCGCGATCTATGTAGGAGCGCTCTAGAGGAGTGCAAAAGATCCGAAATAAGGGAGTTCGGTGCTGCCGCTGTCGGTAAGGGCAAGGGCCAGAATCCGTCCAACAAGCCCGATGCTACCAAAGACCAGTGGAAGGCAGCTACTTTCCCGAAAAGAGGTGTTTCTGCCAAATACCACGCTGCAAAGATGCGGAAGAAGTCAGTAAACGCTGACGGCAGCTGCGGATATTGCAGGTCAAAGGGTCACAAACCAGCAAAGTGTTGGTATATTGACCCTGAGTCGCGCCCAGTGGGATGGATCCCATACATCTTAGACATCTGGTTCTACCGGGGAAGCAATAACGAACGTAGCAAGAGGTCAGATTCGAACTCGAAAGATGACTCCAAAGCAGCGGCACCCGCACCTGCAAGGCAGATAGCAGAGACGCCTGCTCAACACGTTACCCTGCATGAAACAGAGTCAGATAACAAAAATTCACATATTTTGAATTTTTCTGGGCTGGCAGTTGGAAGCACCACTGACCGCTCCCTACACTGGATCTACAGTACAGGAAGCTCCCAGCATCTGACCCCTGACCGCGCCTCGCTTAACGAATATCACGAACTCAATGCCTCCAACTTCTACAAATACAGAACATCTGACGGGAGTGTTGGTGTTGCTAAATCTGCTGGCTACCAGACCCTGCTCCTATCCGCAAACAACGAACGCCTCGAGGTCAAGGTCAAAGCGTTCTACCAGCCGGACCTCGCCTACGGCCTCCTTTCGGCGGACCGCCTGCGCAAGGAATTCGGAATATACGCGAACACAAAGGACCTGACCCTACGCAGGGAGCAGGATGACAAAGTGGTAGGCCACCTACAAGCATGCAAAAACGTGCTTTTCGTGCGTACGGAGGATGCAGGGTTGGCCCTCGCTGTGGTGGACCCCCTGCTCCTGCACCGGCGATACGGTCATGCAGGAAGGTTGCCTCCGCTGCGAAAAATCAACAAATTGAACTCGAACACCGTGAGGACCTCCACTGCGAGGCGTGTTCCCTAGGGAAAGCGAAGCGTTTGGTATCCAGGGACCCTATCCTGAGGACTGCTGATCCTCCTATCCAGCTGTGGCATGCTGATGTGTAGCAAGTAACCCTATTCAGGCATAGAGGATTTAAGTACTTCCTAATCTTAATTAATAATGTAACTTGTTTGGTGTGAACGGCCATGTTGAAGCAGAAGAATGATGTCTCTACGGAACTTATTTGAATCAATAATGGATATAATAAGATGGTTGGCTGCTACGTGGTAGTGTAGCACCTTGACGGGGGCCGCGAATTCAACCGCTTGAAAGAATAGGCGAATGAATCACGAAGATTAAGAAATTAAAATTATGATAGTCTTCCCGATCATCTGAAGCAAACAGCCTTGCTGAGTGCTATGGTAGTTTACTCAACTAACTGAGTAGGACTATAATACTTGACTCTGGTCTGCCTGCCAACCTCTGACTGTTCACTGTAAGGCTTGCCGTATAGATCCTGAACCGCCTGGTGCCCGCAGGAAGTGAGGCTAAATAAACATCTGTTTACCTATATTGGTTATATTACAATTCCGAATCCTGATGCCTCACTTAACTTTCTATGTGTTTTTAGATGCCGCTGCTACCAATATATACCTGCGGAGGATTAGATCATATCCAGGAAGATGCCCCCCCGCGCAGAAACTAGCTACTTTGTCGGATTCGACGGGGATCACGGCCATGTGTATCTAGTTTAGTATCCCGATTTGAACAAGGTGAAAAAAATTGAGGGACGTGACTTTCTATGAAGATTGTACGTACAGAGATGACTGTAAAGAGCCTGGTAGAGCAGCTGCCGCGTCTACCCCTAAGGGTCCGATCATGCCGGAGACGGGCACTTCGATCAATTCTGGAAAGACCCTTTTGCATGAAGCAATTGCAAAGATCGATACCGCTAAGGATCTCCCTGCGCAGATCTGAACCACCTGCTACGAGCACCTCCTCCGCCGCCACCGCTCCGAGGCGGTCACAACGCACTACGCAAAGGCGGATCGCACTTCGATGTCGACCGAAGGGGTTGATGTCAACGAATACCAGAGCCTTGTAGGCGGATTGAATTGGTTAAACACCAAAACTAGACTCGATCTACGTCATGCAACATTTCGCCTTCAGAGGCGCATGCACGCCCCAACCACGGCGGATGCAAAGGCGTTGAAAGCCGTGTACAGATATCTACGCGATACTACCTCCTACGGGATCACGCTGGCGGCCCCATCACCTGGTCATCCAACAAACAGAGCGTTGTTGCACCCTCCTCTACCGTTGCAGAATACTGCGCGTATGATGCCGCCGCGAAGGATGCCCTGTGTGTCAAGAAGTTGGCGCAGGCGTTTGACCTCAAGATATCGGATACCGGCAAGATACCTATGTTCAGCGACGCTGCTAATTCGCTACGAACCCTTAACCACGGCACCTACACCCGATCCACCAGATGGCTAGATAACCGCTACTTATTCGTGGCAGACCTCATTAAATTGGATGTTATATTAATCCAACATGTTGCAGGCGTTTGCAACCCTGCAGACGGTCTTACCAAACCGCTGGATCAGGAGAAGTTTCGTGCCTTCTGTAGCCTCCAAGAGATGACCCCATTGGCTACCCCTCCCCCTCAGCATCCTGAATAAGATGCTTAAAATGCGGAAGATTGCCTATCTAGGAAACACCTACGGCTTCATTTAACACCTCTCTGCACGCTCCTTCGCCTAGGGGGCCGTGTTGAGGCAACTGCTGGAGTAGATGTAGTCATGTGCCTGGCGCCCAGGCCGCCCACAAACGACCTCTTGCTTTGTTTTGCTAGAGCACCTAGATAGCTACGAATTCAACTAACTCTTTTGCTGCAATTCGCGTTCGTTCGCTTGCTTTTTCGTTGTTTCGTTGCTTTGCTAGTTATCTCGCGCCTCAACATACCATAACAATGTCAGAGCACAGAATCACAGGCAAGATTGGTGAGACATTATAGATCCATTCGGTTTGTAGATACGGTAAAAAGATGATGAGAAGAGAGGGATCAAAATACTGGTATGCCAAGGAAATATGTCCCGCTAATATGTTATGATTTCTGAATCATTCTATCGGATGTTGCGAAAATATGTTACTGTGTTGTTTCAGATGCTTCTGGACATATGGTTTATAATTTATCTATCTGCTCTTTATGAACGTGTATGTCCTCAATTGTAGTCTGAAATAAAGTGTATCGCTGGTATATAGGTATCTATCTATCTTACATCTTGGCCTTCTCGCTCTGGGCAGCCAAGTCGGGCATCAGCATGTCTCTCATATCAGATGCCGCCTCGTTCAAATAGTAGCTCATGCGCTCTGCGCCAAGGCGCTTGCACACAATGTTGAAGTTCAAGCTAAACCACTAGTCAGCAACGATCAATACTTATGGGTAGGGGAGCTTACCTGTTCTCGTTAATCATATAAGCGATGCCGAATCCGTCGTCAATCACTTGACTCCATCCGTAGCCGTTGAAGAACTCCGAGCTCAGCTGGCTGGTTGATAGGTACCACGAGCTACTGTACGCAAATGCGGGGTCTTCATAGAGAGCAGGCAGTTTCTCACCCTCACGCAGCAGCTTCTTCAGACCGAACAGGTGGCGGTCCACACCACGGCCATCGCTGGCTTCCGCCGTGTACTTCGTGTGGGCGGCCAGTGCGGAGCGGAGTAGACGGACAGCCTCCTCGCGGGGGACGGCAGGGTCGCTGATGGCCTTGCAGAAAGCAACGCTCTCATCCGATACCGTGCGGATGGTCTCTGTGCGGCCCTCCTGGAACTTGCGGGTCGAGGCAGACTCGTACGTCGGGCGGTTCTTGCCGTACATCTTGAAATAAGCGAGCTGGATGATCATCTGCACGTACGCATCCGGACTGCACTTGAACTTCTTAATAAGACCCTTGCCGTAGCCCTGGTAGGCCTGGACGCGGAGCTCGTGCGACGAGATCTGCTGGCGGTGCTCCTTGTTGGCAGCATCAATGGCCTCCAGTACCGGGCCGTCCAGGTGGAAGGTGATGGGACGAGGGTCGGGCAGGTCAGACCGCACCGGCTGCTCGGAGAGGTCGATCTTGTGGTTGAAGATGAGGTTGTTCAAGTGGTCGTTCAGGCGGTGGGTGGGGCTGCCGTCCATCATGCTGTGCTCGCCCATGAACCCAGCGGTGCCATTGTCATTGATGATGAACTGCAGCGGCTTGTCGAACCAGCGGTTGGTACCATCACCGTGCCAGTACTGATGAGCACGCTCCTCTAGCGTGACGGGCGTGGCATTGTCCAGACAGACAAGGAACCCGCTGGACTCGATGTCCCGCAATGCCTGCTCATTGGCCGGGTGCGCAGCCAGCAGCTTCTTCCGTGCGTCGGCCCACAGGTCACGGTTAGCGACGGTCAAGACGCCGACCGCCGGAGCGGGCTGGGCAACCTCGTAGATGCGCTCAAACTGGCGCTGCAGCTCAGAGTTGTTCAGGCGCTTGCCGTTGACGGTCAAAGGCACCTTGAAAAATTGGTTCTTGCGCACGACCACAATGTGCTCGTTGTCCTGAGCCGGGAATTTCTGGGGGTAATCGACACTGTCACCAGGGATACGGCAGCAGTTGAACATGAACTGGTAGGTGCTCATAGCCATGGGCTGGCCGCGCATGTATTCAGGCTCCAAGGAGCCATCGTCGACCTGGCGCTTGAATTCCAGAGCGGCGGTAGCAACCGAGGCGGCGCGCTTGGCGGGGTCCCGCCGGGCGCGATCGTCGCGGTAGGAGTAGAAGTACGAAACGTAGGGGATGACAGGGTCCCGGTAGCCCAGGTATGCGGCGTGATTCCACCATTCAAGAAGCCAGTTCTTCACCTTGGGGTCGGCGGCGCGGGCGAGCAACCTTTCCTGCAGGGGCTCACCCTCACCACCCGGGCGAACAAAGGCGTCAACGGCCTTCTTGGTGCGCTCATATTCGGCCTCGGAGACCAGCGCGTGGACGGACTTGAGGTAGCGACGGCCCGTTTCTTCCAGAGAGGGTACCGGCAGGCGGGGGAGGGAGTCTTCGAATCTGAGCATATTGCCTTTGGAGAGATCTTCTTTGTAGCCTATCCATCCACAACGTGTCAATAGCGGATCTCGAATCGGATTCGCATGTGAATGCTTACCCTCAGGGACCGAAGATGCTTTGCGACGGGGTGCCATTATGGGTGCCTAAGCGGTAGAGATCACAATTAGCCGATAGTATTCGCGAATTCTGGTGGTATGGGAACAGGCTTACGACGGCAGATCTGGCGAGGAGCGAGTTGGCGGGGGAGAGACGGGTCCGGGGGAGAGTGGAGAGACGGGTTCTGCTCGAAGCCGCGAACATGCCTCGCGGTTGTGAAGGGAAGGGGGGGAAGATGAGAAAGAGAAGAAGAGTTAGAGATGGCTAAGCAAAGGGTATAAAGCAGAGGAGAGGAGCGTGAGCTAAAAAAGTAGCAGGGAGAAAGGCCACATGAGATAAGAGAGCGAGTTGAGGATCAAGAGAAGGAAAGATACCTCGGCTGGATGGAAGCCAGGATCAGCCGACTGCTGGATGGTCACGTATTGTCATGGCTGAGGTGGATCTTTCCCGTTGGCTCCGCTGACTGGTGGGGATGCCGCGTATGTGACGGTAATATGGGTAATGTGGTCAACCGGATCGCCGAGGAACTTACTTTGGGCCGGTGGGGACGGAGTTGCCCCAATTTCGAGACATCACGATAATGCCTCTGAAGTCTTCACAGTTGATGCTTTGGGTCTGGCACCGACCCCATGGGGTACCGAACGGTTTCGATAATTCACTTAGAGCTGTACAGCTGCAAGCATTTTTTGCTGCTACGACAGTATTCTCTAAGCTATATTGTCTCTCCCTTTAGCCACGGATCCCGCAACAGCTCCGTTGCCGTCATTGTACCTTCTGATTGCCACTGAGTTACCCCTCCCATGAGATGTAAGAAAGCCTTTTTGTTGTTCTTTTCGGGGGATTTCTACGACTCAAATTCTCCGGTATGCGAGATGGTGATGTCTTGCTTTCACTATCCTACAGGGTGTGTTCAGTCTGATGCCAATCGTTTTCGAGATACTAGGACAACATACCTTTCAGTAAAGAACTCGTTGCTTCACTTTCCCCGTTACAATAGATCCAACGGCGGATGACCCCGAAGACCATCCGCACGGGTCGAGTAACAGAGTATCGAGCGTTGTTCGTACCAAGCCGTATCCGGGATGGAATAGATCGGCTTGACTTATGTGATGATGTATTTTGGTCTTCTGAGTATGAGATTCATCACGGGTATAGACCTTGAGAGTCACATAATGATGAAATTTGCATATCACTCAGCATCAGTCCGCAGGTCGGTTGTATGGAGCAGGAAGAACAGACTGGAGATGAATCCTGTTTCCCCGATGAACTGATACTTAAAAGGGCGGAGATGTCACCGATGTAAATAGGGTAGTAGTGGCCATTTCCTGTAGAGTTGAAGTGCTCTTCCTCGAAGCTAATTCGGTAGTTGGAAAGCACCGAGGTGTTTGAGAGAGCTCTGCGAGAATCCACTTGAGCACAGAAGCCACGAATGCACATGCAACATTGGCGGTAAGTCGGGGTATTCTAACAGCTACCTCAGGTTAATTCGCCGTCACCCAAAGGGTGAATGGATGGATGTTTTGTTTACAGTATCAAAATTACTAGCGGTATGGGAACACATTCAATCCGGGCGGTACAGGCTAGTAAGATTATGAATTGCCCCGGACTCGCCATCAGCCAGCCTCGGTCCGTTCGAGGAACAGCGGTAACAACCTACCGGGCAGTTTCGAAACCCAGTTCCTGTGAATGTTCTATGGCAGGGAAATCTAGTCGGAAGCCTAACTGGAACTTAGTCAACTGTCATCTTCGGAGACACGCTATTATACAACGCCGCAGCTCAGCCGGGGCAATCGATGGTCCAGCCGCAAGGAGAGTGAAATGCGGGGGGAGTTGCTGGACGTAGAAAGGAGGTGATTCCCTCGGTCGGGAGCATTGGGTCACCAGAACAAGAACAGACCGAACTACTAACTGACCCTTCCATCGGCATCTCTACTTGAGACAACAGTCCCATGACTGGCAGAATTGTTTCACGCCGTTGCGTCACTGGCACACATAAGCCCGGTGGATAACGCAGAGCAGTCTCTCTGCTGTGAAGCTAAATGCCTCATGTGGTCTTGAAAGATACAGAAGTTTGGTCCTTTGAGAAGTTATTGTTATGATATCATGTATGTGATACTATGTATGTAGTAGCAGTGCTTTCACCGCTCTGCATACCGCATCCTAAATAGGATGCTCTACATGATGCTGTACGGACTCAGACCTTTGGTTATTGTTAAACAGATCTTCTTTCGATAATCTTAATACAATGTTTCAATCAGACTGTATACTCACTTGACCGGCAATCAACATCAAAAAGTGACATTTGCCCGATTCCCTACTGAAGATATCGAAACGACTCGGCCCAGTCTCAAACGGTCTTGTCAAGCACGTGACAGGAGCGAGGTAATGCCGGCATCCACCGCTTTGGGGAAGAAACCAGTGCTCATTGCGGAAATACTAATCATACTGATAATTATCCCGGCCACTAGTGAGAGTTCTTGTTCCAAAATGTCTCTGTCCAAGAACGTCATCCGGTCGAGCCGCATAACCCAGCAATCGCTATTTCGATGCAGCATATCCCGTCAGAAGGTCCAGCGATCCCAAGAACGCCGTTTCAGCCAATCTCGCGCTGTCGCCGCCCCAGTGGCCGGAGCAAGTGAAGCTGAAGTGCAAGCAGCACTGAAATACTGCTCGAATCTTCTTCTGTAAAGTCTTTTCAATCACCCATCTTGGCTGGCGACCTATCTAATACAGTCTATGTTCATGCCAGACAATATGACCGTCCCTCCTATACCCTCAGTACCTTCATCCCCCGAACGGCGCAAACCTTTTACATCGCTCTTCGAGCTCTTAATGTCTCTCTTTCCCTAATCCCGGATACCACCTCATCCCACACGATCGGGCTTATGCGCCTTCAATTCTGGCGCGATGCAATGGCCAAAACACTATCCGGTTCCCCCCCGAAAGAACCTATTGCCATTCTCCTCGCTTCCGCCATCTCAGACCTCACCGAACGAACGCAAGGTCGGGCGCGAATTAGCAAAGGCTGGCTGAATAGAATGATCAATGCCCGCGAGCAGACTCTTACCAACGACCCGTACCCTGATATCGCTGCCCTCGAATCCTATGCGGAAAGCACCTACTCGACCTTGCTCTACTTGACGCTCTCAGCACTGCCCATGACATCCGTAACGGCGGACCATGTAGCATCGCATATTGGAAAGGCAGCCGGTATCACAGCTGTACTCCGTGGTTTGCCACTGGTGGCATTCCCGGGCGCATCGACTCAGCGTCCTGACCAGGCTGGTACGACAATGGCCGGAGGAGCAAAGCAGGGAGCCGTAATGCTGCCATTGGATGTAATGGCGCAGGCTGGGGTAAAAGAAGAAGAGGTGTTCCGCCTGGGCAGTGAGGCGCCCGGATTACGGGATGCTGTTTTCACGGTTGCCACTCGGGCCAGCGATCACCTGATTACCGTGCAGCAGATGTTGAGCAATATTCGTGCTGGGCAGGATGCAGGGCATGAGTTTGAGCACGGCCATGAAGAGGATCATCAGTATGATTTCCCATCCCAGAACGAGACCCCACTACAGGAGGTCAATCGTGCATTCGGTGTATTTATGCCAGCCGTTGGAACGCGGCTGTGGCTGGATAGACTAGAGAGTCACGATTTCGATATCTTCCAGCCTGAACTTCTCCGGTCGGATTGGAAGCTCCCTTGGAAGGCTTATATGGCTTTTACACGGAAGACCTTCTAATGATCCGTGATCTTGGATGTCTGAATGTTTGACTTGTGTATGATATGATAGATGTATAATAGTACGTGCACCAGGCTAGGATCTGGTCCGCTATATATAGTATGGCAAGGATCTTGCCATGCTTTACCATAACACAGAATTTATTCCACGAGGCAGAAGCCGAACTTGAACACTACTAACTTACTTTTTTCTTCTTGTCGACGTGCGATTATAAGGCTCTCCACCCCCTTCTATCAGCGCGGGTGGCAAGTTCTTGTGGAAACTGCACTTAATAATGGGATCCCATGGCCTTCACAGGGTAAAGTCCAATTCATTGAGTGGGACGTAGTATATGGTAAGAATGATCCGTCTTGATGACTAATTTTTGCGCTATCACTACTGTTGTCCCTTGCTTTTTCTCACGAGTCGAGCCGGTCTCCGGCTATGAGATATATAATTCTCCCCACTCAAATGATTATGGATCGGTCGTCGAGGTACAACAAAGTCGATATCGGGTTGCCACAACGTTTCTTAGCAAATGATGAAATTTTCATGAATAGAGACTCTGGGGTTCGTACTTTCTCATTGCCCTGCCAGCCGGATTGCACAGACATATGCCTGATGCTCTATTAGGGATTGTGAACAGCTCCCTTGCGGTTCTAGGCCGCATGACGAGGAATGATATCCAGCGTATCAGACCTAGCCTGAGTGTCAGATACCAATTATACTCTATTCAAGATATGTACCTCGCTACATTTGAAGGATTTTCTTAGCACCTGCCATTCATACACATTGATGAAATATCCTGGAATAGTGACAACTCAGCTTATGACGTCTTCTCAGTACTAAAATAATATACGATTCAATTCAATTCAATGAAATTCATATTTTAGACCAGATCGAGCCGGCGTAGGGAGGTGATAGCTATGCAGGTGCTTCACCGGTTGAAGCAAAGAATATGGCCCCGAACGCCCTCAATGCCCTCAAACTCGCAGTAAACACACTTAAACAATGTAAAACAACGCTTTCCACGATTTAGGAAGGTCGTCGCCGTAGCTAAACACAACTAAACGACAAAAGCAAATGTAGATGTAAATGAGTGTTGCAGTCGTAGCTGCTGGTGAGCCCATCCTCCTCATTCGTCGTCCATTATCTTGACATGCCTATTTCTTCTGCTTGTTTGAACTTCCCTGCTGACTCAAACAGGGCGTGTTTGGTTCCTTCTACCCAGTGTCTTCAGCGTCTATCCCTATGGCCCTGAGGCCTATGTGTTCATGGCTTGGGTCGGATCCTTGTTCAGGGTCAGGGTCGAGTCCGACCTGGCTGAACTGCCCGAGCAAGCCTATTTGCAGCATGAATTCGGCGACGTAGCAGATTGCCTGCGGGTCTGATATGAGCGAGTCATAGTCAGTAGTGATGGTAGCCCCCAGATCCGTACGTGCGGCAATCTTATCAAACATCTGATTATACACGTTGAAGTTTCTGACTTCAATCATCATAGTTGATAACTGGAGGCCATAATCGACCCCCTTATCGATCACAGAAAGACAGCCAAAAATGGTGCTTACAACAAACTAAACCCTATGATACAGACACGCCCACCGCCATACCCTAGTGCTAACTGTGAATGGTGGTGGTCACGTGATCTGAGGCCACCTTATCATTCTCCCTCTGGCTCCACGTTTCTTCCTCTGGTCACGTATCTCGAGCCACTCATTCCTAGTAGCCGATAAGTATATCACAGCCAGATATTCTGAGTGAAGGCCAAAGCGGTATCGGAGGGTTGCGCACTTACTACAAATAGTATCTTCAGCCTTTTGAGAAAGATGATCATGTCAAAAGTGACAACGGCTTCGACCAACTTACAGTTAGTGTCATCGCTGTCAGCCTTACGACTAATGCGTGCTCTCGTGTCAGGAAAGGCTTCAGCTGGCAGGCCAGGTAGAATTATTGCGATCAACACCAGTTTCGCTACCTCAGCCTGTTCTGTCGAGTCCGCAGCCCTTGGGTTCCTGATTCGGACAATTCAGCAGCACTAGATTTAGGCAAGGGAGAGTGAAGACGTTCAGATGTTGACAAATTGCCCCATCTCAGTGGCGGCATGCGCCCGAGTCACCAACGACCGAAGCATCTACTGTAGAATTCTGTATGGGTTTTACGCCTCCCGTAAGATTGGGTGTAATTTTGAGTGAAATTACAAGACAAACCGGTACCTGCCAAGACCCTAATCTGCAGGCTAACTATATACAGACTAGTACAGGTGTTAGGTTTTGGGAAAAGATTCGGGAAGAGTCTGGGGTAGGCACGGTGGTAGTGCAAAGTACTATATCTACAAGACTACAGTCAACCGGATAATTCTGCGAACCTAGCTTTGGAGGAAGTATTCCGCAACCATCTTGGAGTATATTTAGCCGCAGACAAATTCAGTATGATTCCTCTTCGGGAACTTGCTAGTTCCCGGATCGTCGATTGGGCAAAATCGAATTGGAGCTTGAGGTGTTTCCCGGACACTGTCCAGGATATATGGTGTGATACTCCGCCTCACGATAATAAACTCCATGATGCGATGGCAGAAATTGTTTCATCTAATATTCAGCATTTCCTATCTCAAGGAAATGGAAAGAAGGTTTTCTCTGAAAATCCCGAATTCTCAATTGCGGTCATTGAAAAACTGTCTCCGGACAACATGAGGTTGAAAGAAGAGAACAAGAATCTGGTTGGACAAAGCGATTTTGATATATAGGGTAGGCATATTTTCATAGTGCACTGCTGGACTTCGGGCACGTTTTTCTGTCATTCACCCTTACTATAGATATATATGTTAATTCCCACTGCTTGCCCTCACCAGCCTCGTTCATTATCTTGGCCCATAACGCAATTTGCCCCGCAAATTTGCGGGCAACGCCTAGTTCAAAACCACGCTCAATGAAAAATGCTGGCTTTATCTCACGATGAATCTGGTTGATGTCAAGACAGTTTTCAAGTGTGATGTCTCGCGCCTTTCTGATACAGAGCTTCCGGAAACTGGAATCACCACCTACACTCTTTGATTGTTTCAGCAACCCCAAGATGAAACCACGCTAGACCTAGCCTGGAACCGGATGGAATAATAGTGTTCCATTACATGACAGTGTACTGTAAAAATATGTACATAGTATGGTAATATATGGAAACATCTAGACTAGTATAGTTAAGTAGCAAACTGGCCGTAATTACTGAATAAGCGAAAATCACGGGACAGTTCTTATAGTAGGAAGTAATAGTATATAGGCATTGCACATCCCAGGCCCTTCTTTTATAAAGAGATTAAAAAATATGAGACTGTACTAGAGTACAAAGATATTCTCCTATTGAAAATCAAATCTTATGATTGGAACGCGCCCATCCGTTAACCCAAGGGCAAGCGTAGTATCCTTAATCGCAAAACACGCAAAAGAACGATAGTCAGTAGGAAGCCACAGGGCCCTTTCACCTCGTAGAGAGACCCAAGAATCCGCAACAGAGATAGAATAACTGGGAGGAGATTGGTTCACGAGCGACATGACCGTACTGGAATGGCCGGTCAGCGTGCGCTGCTCGACGCCCGTGGCCGTGTCCCAGAGCTTGATAGTATAATCGCTCGAGCCTGATGCCAGCGTGCGGCTGTCCAGCGAGAAGGCCACCGAGTCAACCCAGTTAGAATGGCCGGTCAGTGTGCGCTGCTCGATACCTGTGGCTGTATTCCAGAGCTTGATAGTCTTATCACTCGAGCCCGATGCCAGCATGCGGCCGTCCGGTGAGAAGGCCACCGAGTGGATCCAGTCGGAATGGCCGGTCAGCGTGCGCTGCTCGATGCCTGTAGCTGTATCCCAGAGCTTGATAGTCTGATCACTTGAGCCTGATGCCAGCGTGCGGCCGTCCGGTGAGAAGACCATTGACCAGACTCTACCAGAATGGCCAGTCAGTGTGCGCTGCTCAATGCCTGTAGCCGTATTCCAGAGCTTGATAGTCTCGTCGTCTGAGCCCGACGCCAGCGTGCGGCCGTCCGGTGAGAAGGTCACTGACTGGACTCTACTGGAATGGCCAGTCAGTGTACGCTGCTCGACGCCTGTGGCCGTATCCCAGAGCTTAATAGTCTTATCATGTGAGCCTGATGCCAGTGTGCGGCTGTCCGGCGCGAAGGCCACTGACTGGACTCTGCTGGAATGGCCGGTCAGTGTACGCTGCTCCATGTCCATGGCTGTGTCCCAGAGCTTGATGGTCTCATCATCTGAGCCCGACACCAGTATACGGCCGTCCGGCGAGAAGATCACCGACCAGACCCAGTCGGAATGGCCGGTCAGCGTGCGCTGCTCAACACCCGTGGCCGTGTCCCAGAGCTTGATAGTCTTATCACTCGAGCCCGATGCCAGTGTACGGCCGTCCGGTGAAAAGACCACTGACCCAACCCAGTTGGAATGACCTGTTAGCGTGCGCTGCTCGACACCCGTGGCCGTATCCCAGAGCTTGATAGTGTAATCGCTCGAGCCTGATGCCAATGTACGGCCATCCGGCGAGAAGGCCACTGACCAGACTTTACCAGAATGGCCGGTCAGTGTGCGCTGCTCAACGCCTGTAGCTGTATTCCAGAGCTTAAGAGTCTCGTCGTCTGAGCCCGACGCCAGCGTGCGGCCGTCTAGTGAGAAGGCCACTGACCGGATCCTATTAGAATGGCCAGTCAGTGTGCACTGCTCAACGCCCATAGCCGTGTCCCAGAGCTTGATAGTGTAATCACTCGAGCCCGACGCCAGCGTGCGGCCGTCCGGTGAGAAGGCCACCGAGTGGACCCAGTCGGAATGGCCGGTCAGCGTGCGCTGCTCGACGCCCGTGGCCGTGTCCCAGAGCTTAATGGTCTTATCATGTGAGCCCGACGCCAGCGTGCGGCCGTCCGGTGAGAAGGCCGCCGAGTCGACCAAGTGGGAATGGCCTTCAAATGTCTGCAGATTTGAGCTCCAGGAGTCTTCTACCGCTGTTTCAACTGCCAGCTGATCATTGACTTTCCCATAAAATACCTGCTTTATAATACTTTTGGTCGGTGCAAATACAAGACCAGCGCGGTAGAGCTGTAGTGGAGCGATCCCTGCTATATAGCTGTTTTGACGAGTAAATCTTTCTGCATCATATAAAAAATCCGATAACTCGGAACCAACTTGCGCCTGACTAAAAATTAGCTAGTATTCTGAGCAGAGACCAAAAACTTACCCGTGTTCTCGACTTTAATACATTTATTAATCCTACTACTTCCGTTATTTCTCCTATAAGAGCTAGTACCTCCAACCAGTGAAGGAAGTGCTCCTTGAGAAAAGAGAGAATATCATAGTCCACGATCCGACCTTTACTCTGTTCCAGATGATGAATCCAGTAGCGACAGGCGTATTTCAGATCGGCTGTGATACACTTCTCAACACTCTGAGGCTCGATATTATCTTGTTGTGTTCTGTCACTTTGCAGCTCGCATATATTCTGTTTGAGCCGGGCTTTCATAAGCTTTAGACAATGTGATACTATCTTCGCATGCGTCCTTTGCTCATCAACAGAAAATTCCTTCTCCGTTGTTTTCAAGAGATACTCTCGGAATGATAAATGCAGGATACGGACTGGTGCCTCAAGGTTTGTTGGTACACTCAGAACTGAGTGGAATCTTTGTAATCGACTAGCGATTTTCTTCTCGTCTATCTCTGTCAGCTGGGCAATAGCCTTCACTGGAAGAGGGTCAGCGAGGAGAATAATAACTCCAACAATATTATGAAAGTCTTGCAAGATCCGTGCATTTTCGCTTCTGTCAGTAAGCAGCTGATTTAAGATCGGCTGATATGTCCTTTCTATTTCGGATGTTGATGTGATTGCCTTGTCTTCTAGGATATATTTGAGCTGTTCGTCCGGAAGCTCATATTTATCCCCAACAAAACGGCAAAGTGTAGCTGCAAAGATAAATAAGGGAACAGCCATCTTTACCAGTTTATCAACATTATTATCTCCGGGCCAATCAGGAGAGTGTGGGTATTGCTGAAAGAACGGGTGCTCATTCCGAATCTCAGTAAGCCGATATTTCAGGAACAGGCGAATATCATGTTCAATCACGGACTTTGGCAGCTTATGGAGGATCAAGTCTTGGTGATTCTCGTTTTCTCTGAAGCCAAGACGAATAGGGAGCTCAGGTCGGCTAGTAAGGAATATTCGAAGGCGTATCGACTGAAGCTGCTGGAGTTCTGGTAAAAATCTGATTATCATGTTGATATCACTCTCCTGATCGCATTCATCTAACGCATCAATCACAAGAACAATAGTTGTGGGTTTTACTGGATGTAAGGTAAGTAGTGGACTAAGAAGCAATGTATTGAATTGCTGCTCGAGGGTTTTGAAGGGAATGTCTGGCTTTTTCTTTACCACTTCGAGAACACCTGGTACCAGCTCTGGACAGTGCTTTACTAGTTGTTTTATGATCGTCGATATCAGATATTTCGCGTTCGCACGGTCTGATTCACCTCTCTTAAAGAAAAACGAGGCACCAAGCTCTCCTTTCGTATCCAATCTTCTTGCAACTGTTTGAGCGATCGTAGATTTACCAGTTCCGGCCATACCATTCAACCAAAAGATACACTTTCCATCTATAGATTCAACCCAATTTCTGACTTCGCTGAGTAGCTCCGTTCGGGTTCCTGGGAGACATTCGTCGTGCTGGTTATCGCGCGAGTCAAACAATGCACCTTGGATAGTTCTCAGATTTTGCCAACAGGCTGTTTGGTCGAGTTGAGACTGGATTAGACTTCTTATATTAGCCGCGCTTGTGTTGGCGATTGGCTACTTCGTTTACCTAAGTGTGTCCCGTGTCTCTAGCGTATATCTCTCAACTAGGAAACTGTCAGCAGGCGTCTCAATAAGATTAGCAGTTGAAGAACGGAAAAACTGCAAGAAAAAAAATAGAAAAATGCTATTACTCCTGAAGAAATTCGGTATCACATTTCATACCTGTTTGTAATTGATTTCTCACCTGGTCAGCCCATGAGGGCATAGTATCCACACGTTGAGCCCGCAGGACACACAGTAAGTCTCGTGCATAGGCAGCGGCGGTAAGTGCAGCATAGTTATGCCAATCATCATTCTTGTGAGAGTCACAATAATCGCAGATTCCACGAATAATAAGACATGGCATGTTGTTCATCAGACCCGCAGCTTCCATCTCAAAACACAGTACATTGAGATCGGGATCGTTAGCATAGATATCACGTTGAATGCCATCTTTAAGAACAGTATTTCCAGAGGCGATAGTTCCGTAGTGAACACGAAGGATGCGCTGACCTGAACGCTCTGGACGATTGATTAAGAAGCTTGAGTCACATTGCTGACAGCTTGGTCCACCAGTATGTAGATAATCAGCTCGGTACAGCCGATCAACTTTTGGTCGGTGATAATCTTCTGTATCATCCATACGCTGAACGTGTTCCGCAAGACTGTCTGGCCTCCGCATATCATTATGAAGCCTTCTTATTTCAGGGATGACTCCAAGTAGCTTGTTGGGAGGGGCGTTCATCTGTCCTACTCTTTGGAAATGACCGTTTTGTAGTTTTTTTCCGAGATCATATTGTACCACACCACCGATAGCACCTTTTGGCTGGCTAACAACAATGTCACCGAGTCTGATATCATTTCTAGCTGATGGTGCACCGCCTCCAATACCAACCATTAATGCAAATCGTAGGTTGGGAAATGACCGCAGCATGTCTCGCGCAACAGAGCTGGCTGAACTGGTACCGTATCGACCTGCAGGAAGACAGCCGATCACGATGAAGTGGTTCATAATACGTCCAAAGACATATGTGTTGTCATCACTGGATTCCACGAGATCCTGGCACGTGAACTCCTCATCCAACATGCGACAGGCGCATTCATATTCCTCCTGGAGAGCACAAATCCAGCCGACTGTATAGTAATCGATAGATGCGCTGCGATCTTTTGGAGGATCAGGATGTCCCTTCTGAGACCGTTTCAGCGAAGAGGGAGGAGAAAAAAGACTCAGTGACCCCTGCCGCTTCATGATAGCGTCCGCGCGAATATTCTGTATAACGTGATATTGAACAGTTAACGATGGTAGAATGGTTAAAGCACCTCGAAATACTCAACATATACCAGAATAATTCAAACAGCCGGAGATTTGGCGAGTATGAGACTGATTAGATTGTGAATATTGGAAAGTGTATTCTTGGAGGGAATGAACACCGGGGTAGACATTCGAGACAGCTCTAATTAACATGACGTGGCGCGGGGTTGCGGCGGCAAATGTCGAATTGTTATTGGATATATTTTTAGTGCGGTAGAAGTCCATCAGAAGATGCTTGGGCAGGATGCAGTTGGGAACACGCGGGCTAATACTGAACAGATTATGATTGAGATTCTGTTATGTTACCAGAGCTCTGAACCTGTTGTAGATGGCCCTCACGTGTAGCTGCGCCTGCGAGCCCATCCCCTCCGTTCTTCGTCCACGTTCTTACTTCCAACATGCATGTTCTATCTGATATGCTTGCCTTCCCCGGGTGACTCAGTCCGAGGCGTGTGTGGATCATTCTACCCAGCGTCTTCAGCGCCTATCCCCATGGCCCTGAGGCCTTTGGTCGGGATCATCCTGGCCCTGCAAATGGCGCAGGAGGACCCCTTTCTCTGGGGAGCGGTCGAAATCTACACTGATAACCAAGGCGCGCTCCAACGCCTACTCGACCCCGGGATGCAGTCGGGACAGTTCCTCGTCCGACGCATCGTCGACCTCATTGAGGAGCGCCGCGAGCGAGGCGGGACGTCAACTTCCACTGTATCCCGGCCAACGTGGGGGTCCCTGGCAACGAATTCGCGGACGAGATGGCCAAACGCGCCACCGGGTGGCTCCCGGGAGGCGCGACCAACGGCCCCAAGGCACCGCAGGTGCCGGACTACCGGACCCTGCAGTCGTCCGCCAATGCCTGGATCAAGGCATTAACAAAGAAACAATCACACCGGCACTGGCAGCATGCGGACCACGGCAAGACCCTCCAACAATACATTCCAGAGATCAGCAAGACACCGATGCAACTCTACAAGGGATTGACTCCAGCCCAGCGGAGCGCCCTATTCCAGGCCTGGACGGAAAAGATCGGCCTGAACGCGTTCCTACACGTGGCTCGGAAGGTCGATTCCGTTCGGTGCGAGCGATGCAATGCGGCACCGGAAACGGTGCACCATGTCTTGCTCACGTGCGACTCATACAACGAGCTCCGGCGCTAGATCTGGCACGACGCCCAATCGATGCCACGGAGCCTGAAGGAAGCGCTGACGGAGCAGAAGCATGCAGCGCGCACGACGAGCTTCCTGCTCACGACAGGGCGCCTGCAGTACCTGTTGCCGCCCAAGCCGCCTCAGGCGCACGACACGGAAGAAGAGTGACTACTAACGATGGCAGATACAAGACCTGGGCAGCACGGATGCGGACATAGCGCGCCTCAGGATCAGAGAGGCGCGTGACGGGTGGGGGGCGCATCCGCGGATCCACGCCGCTATCTCCCCCCTCACGGTTCCCCATACTTGACGACAACATATTCCCGTAATCACAATCGTCTGTGGGTTGCATATACACGCATGCAGAAGCTTGTCGAGCCAAAGGGCTGCGGAGGAGGGATCACAGGACCCGGTACAGGACTACGAAGCTAAAGGAAACAAGAAGGTCCACGGGAAGCCTTACGGACCTCTACGGCCACGGAAACCTTCGACCGGGCAGGGAACAGGAGCGAGCGGGTCCCAGGGCCTCACGGAGAGGCTCAACGCGGCCCACGTGAGAGGATTGCAAAGAACATGGAGCAAGGGGTTGGAAAGAACGTGCAGATGGGGCTGAGTCGTGTCCCACGAGGCATCTACGAGGGGGCGGCTACGAACGTTCTGATTGGTCAGTTGGATTTGGGGATAGCTTCACGCTTTAAATACGGTATTTGAGCGATACCGTAAGATTACGAGGGATCGAGTAAAAGGGAAGGAATAAGGAATAGGGTCCTGTACATTAGATTCGCCGCTCGGAGGCTTGCTCAGGCCACAGGCGCCCTGCAAGAGCGCCATGGCTGCGCTATATTAGGGTAATCCAATCTATCTATCTATCTGTCTGTCTGTCTGTCTAACATCCAACCCTGAATTTACAAATCATCTCCCTCCCCAACCCCCACACCTAAAGTCCCATTTGACTCCATCGCACTCTTGATTTCAGTTAGGCAACTGCTGGAGTAGGTGTAGTCACGTGTCTGGCGCTCAGGCCGCCCACAAACGACCTCTTGCTTTGTTTTGCTAGAGCACCTAGATAGCTACTAATTCAACTCACTCTTTTGCTGCAATTCGCGTTCGTTCACTTGCTTTTTCGTTATTTTGTTGCTTTGCTAGTAATTTCGCGCCTCTACGATTTCCCCACGGACTTTACGTCACCAGCGATACCTTCTACTCAAAACTCTTCCCTGGCGTGGGCATCCTCCAGCCCGGTAACTCGTACGGAAAATGCAACCACTGCGGCAGGTGACCGAAGTGAATGAAAACATTTGCTTGGGCCCCATGCGATGTGCTCGTGATAGAGCCGTCGGGATTTGGCTGGCGATCGGCCTTCTGGATCACGTGATGTGGTTTTTCTTGACTTGTTTGTTTCGCCTCGCGCGCTCGCGCTCGCTTATCTGTGGTGTTCTCCCTACCCTCCTACCTTTCTCTCTTCGTGCTAGATATTTTAGTCAAGTAGCGCCAAATGCAACAGATTCGACCGGCTATCACACACTGCTTGGCCCACCTTGGCCCTCTTTGGTGGCGGATACGAGTCGGATTATCTGTTGTTCCTGCCCGGTCCCGAATTGCGCCACCCGCTTTGCCTCAAGAGTCTGCACCTCGTTCCCTTCAACTCCAGAATGAGGAGCGCGCCTCTCCGCAGCATTTCTAGAGACAGGCTGAAGCCGGGGTCCACCGGTTTATAAGAGACATCGACAGCCAGGAGGAAGACGCCAGCGAGCAACATCAACACTAACACCGAACCACTGCAGGCGTCGTCGCGATCTCGATTCGTATTATACCTTATGCATCCAACTCTATCTCAGTCCCTGTCATACCCTTCCTCTGCTACCCACTAGCACGGCATCACGACAATCCTCTTCCTTCCGTCTTCTACCGAGACATGGCTCCGTTACTGGGCCATGATACGCGCTCATCTTCCCGACAAAATGGCCACGAGATGACACCTCCAAAGAACATTCTCTATATCGACGCGTACGACTCTTTCTCCTACAATGTTGTCGCCATGCTCGAGGAGGTGCTAGATGTCCAAGTTACAATCATGCATATTGACTCAACTTGGCCGGATGGGAATGCTGCGGAGTTTCTCCAACACTTCGAAGCCGTTGTTCTTGGGCCGGGCCCTGGTGATCCACATATACCGGACGATGTGGGAATTATGGAGGATATCTGGAATTTGAGCACTGCAGACATGCTTCCAGTTCTCGGCATATGTCTCGGTTTTCAGAGCTTATGCCTTCGTCACGGTATTCCTATTCACCGGCTACCGTATCCGCTCCATGGCCAGGTTCGCCGCGTTCAAACTACCGGTGAAGATATATTCGATCGCGTACCCAATCTGGAGGTCACTCTATACCACTCCCTATATGCCCAGCTGGAGAAAGTACAGAATGGCCACGAAGAGGCACGATCAGACAAGTCTGCAGCACAAGAGCTTGATATTCTGGCATGGCTGCCCTTAGAGGAACAGGTCTCCACTGGCTTGGTTCGGCCGATACAACTTCCAATGGCTGTGCGCCATAAGAGCAGACCCTTCTGGGGTGTTCAATTCCATCCAGAATCTTGCAAGTCGGACAAGGAAGCATGCAGACAGATACTGGGGAAATGGTGGGAGATGTCTCTCCACTACAACAAAACCACTGGACGAGGCACTCCCCTGAAAATGATACGCGACTGCCTCCACGAATCGGACGACATAGCTTCCTTACCGAACATCGTGCATACCATGCTGAGCTGGTGCACATCTACTTCAAGATACTCTTTCTTTCGACACTTCTACACCAAACCGCTAGATTCGGCCTTGATCTGTGAGACCCTCAACAGTCCCGGTTCCCCGACAGTGATGTTTAAATCCAATGGCCGACACAGCATCATATCCGTGCCTAGTCCTGGCAGCTGGAGGTTAGAATTCTTCACGCAGACTGAGAGGCTTTTCATGGAAAATCTCGGTTGCGAGAATGCCCTAGAAGGGCAGTCTTTGATTAATACATCCTTGTCAACCAGCCAGTTCTGGGATGTCCTTCGATATTTGATGGACATGAAAAAGGTCGAATCAGGCAGTAGGGATGTCCCGTTTTGGGCTGGGTTCCTCGGGTACTTCTCATATGAAATGGGGCTCGCTTGCCTTCCTCACGCAAAAGGACATGGCCACAACTCCTCGGTAGAGGATTCAGAAGATCCAGTGGATGCGAGTCTACTATGGACTGAACGGAGTGTGATTCTCGACCATGAGTCTGGCCGTGTTACTGTACAATCTACACGGGAAGCTGACAATCAGCCGGCGGGGTGGATCGAGGAAACAGTGCGACTCCTGCAAGATTTATCATCTCATCCTGTCGTGGACATTATCGACAGTGTCACAACTGACACAGTGGCCCTGGATTCCATACTCAGTCGATCCACAGCACAATTTCCGAACGAACAACAATACAAAGAACAGTTTGACGCCTGTATCGCCGAACTGCACGCCGGTGAATCATACGAACTGTGCCTTACCTGCGAAACAGTAATCACAGTGCCCTGCTCTGAACCAGACAATGGTAGCATGAACTTCCCTTGGCTGTTGTACAAGCGCCTTCAAGAGTACAACCCCGCGTCTTTCAGTGCTTATGCAAAATTAGGAAAAGTCAAAGTTCTAAGCAGCAGCCCTGAATGCTTTCTCAATTGGGACCGGAGGTCTCTTCTGGAGATGAAACCTATGAAAGGTACCGTGAGGAAAGCAGACAATATGACGCTTGAAATGGCCAAAGAGATTCTCAGTTCGACCAAGGAAACTGCGGAAAACCTCATGATTGCGGACCTTATCCGGCATGATCTCTATGGTATCTGTGGTTCAGGTGGCGTATTTGTCGAGAAGCTTCTTGAGGTCGAGGATTACGGGCATGTTTTCTCAATGATTACACATGTCAAAGGCCAAGTTGATCCAACTCGGCCTGGGTTCGCTGCACGGGTCCTTCCGCAGTTGCAGTCGGCGGATATGTCAGCATACGGGCTTACGGCTCTGCAGAGATGCCTTCCGCCAGGATCTATGACTGGTGCACCGAAAGAACGTTCTTGCATGCATCTCTCCTCTATCGAGTCTCGTAGGCGCGGAGTGTATTCCGGTGTCATGGGATTTCTGGATCTCGGGGGAGGTGGCAGCTTTTCAGTCCTTATCCGCACCGCATTCAGCTCTTCTAATGACACCGATCTCGAACAGAAATGGCGAATTGGAGCGGGTGGGGCTGTCACGATCCTAAGCACGGCTCAAGGCGAATGGGATGAGATGTTGACAAAGCTAAACACGGTTTATACGGTTTTCAAGCCGGCTACTTCAGCAGTCCTCAGCTAAACAAGCACGGATCTGGGATTTTCCTTCCCAGATCTGCTCATAGGACAACACTGGTCACTATCACCATTAAGCTAACGACGGAGACCGACTCCACGCAAGTACCCTTTGCGATGTATTTTCATGGGAAGGATTGCATGAGAGGGTGGGCTGCAACTCAAGCAATCGAGCCTTTTAGCCGACCTCGGCACCAAGGTCTGTTGCAGGCTATCTTCTGCTGACGTATCGATTCGACAGAGGTTTTCTTTCCTTTTACCTCCGCCTTAAAATAAGTCCGAAGCACTCAACAACACAAGTTCTGTCCATGAGGTGCAGAACCTTGTTCTTCGCATGTCTTGGTCGCGCTAATCACATCGACTGTGTTGTTTGAGAGGCCGATTCCTCTGATTGTAACTGAACTTTCTCCAGCTGAAGTAAGGAGCTGCGGAGGGCCGCGCTCAAATCAAGATACCAACAGGTCGAAAGGTTCCACCTGAGTCCAGGGCATCTGTAAAGGACTTAGGCATTTCTGTCCACGCTCGCTGCCCGTTACGCGGCCATACGCTCCGACGTTACGCCCGTTGTGCTCGCTCTCGCAAACCGCTGTCGGCCGCCCACGCCGCCACCACCC